GACTAGACGGGTCCAAGGTCGTTGGGAAAGCATTTTAGATGCCCAGACTCCTTATTCCTAAGAAAATTACATCTATCTGCTGGTATTAGGCACACCCTTTGAAAAATGAGCCCAGTGACTACTAAAAATGAATTAAAATCAAATACCTTGGCTACTGACAAATGTGGTCTGATCAAAATGCATCATCAGCAATCCAATGTTCCTTCTCCCCAGGAAAGGCCATACGGGCCAGTGCTTGGGGAGCCAGCGCCACAACTCAGCTGGGCTGCACCAAGGCAGGAAGTCAAGTCAACAGGAGGCTCCCTTGGTCAAGTCAACAGGAAGGTAACTGTACATGAAGAAAGCATCCCAACCCAGTCCAGATCAATCCATAAGCCTGATATTAACCCATATGTCAATACTAATCCATAAATTCCTCTTTAGACTCACACGGCCATACACTAACACAGAATGCAGGAAGATCACAAGCCAGTGGGTGGAAAATCTTGTAGATCCAGTAGTGGTGGAAGCATCTCAGCACTGGTGTGGATCTCCACGTGGCTCTTCCAGCTCCACATCTCTTGCTCTATCGGCATAGCTTCATGTGGCTTGTCAACAGGAATGTCTCGCAGCGAGTGAGTGGGTCTGGCCTCCAGTAAGCCATTTATCTCCTTAGCACCTCCAAATGAAGTCATCAAGCTGCGACCTGATTGGCAGGCTAAACTCCACCCCTTCACTCTAATGGTCTCAAATTGACACCAGGTCATGTAACTACCACAGACGTGTTGTCAGGAGAGAGCAGTCCCTGGAGAAGGTACATTGTGCTTGGTAAAGCAGAGGAGCAGCAAAATAGAAGAAGACCTTTCACAATGTGGATTGACACCATGGTGGCATTGCGGGGCTCACACATAAGAATGGCTGTGAGGATGCAGCAGTATGAGCGGGAACTGACTTGCCGGCACCTAACAACAATGACAATAAGGTGCTTATTGGGCTACTCTCCTGAAGTTCTGGGAACGTAACTGCCTATTCAGACTCAGGAGATGAAGCTGCTCTGAGAGACCTACAGTCTCCATGAGAGGGATTCGTGTGTCGGTCGCCTTTGCATGTACATCCTTCCAAATGTGTGTCCAATACGCACTCAGTCCTTCACCCTCTTCCTCTGAGCAGGAAATGAATATTTCTAGGACTCCACTGATATCCCTTGGGACCACAGAGGAATTTAGAACTTTTCCATGATGCAATTAGAACTCAAATCCATTTCTACACAAATATAAAGAGCCCCAGCCTAGGGCAGCCCTTCCCGCGGCTCCCCAGGGGTTAGACCAGTCTCCACATGGGATGGCCCTGCCAGCAGCCGGCTCCCTTCCAAAGTCTCAGCCCCGCTGCTGCTGCCAGACCCACTGCCAAGCCCTGTGCTCTAGAACCTTCTTCTGAAAACCAAAGAACTCGAGCTACATGATTTATAAAGTGGGTTCCATCACAGGCATCAGCTCTAAAATTCTAACTTGTAACCTTGGTGGGCTTTGAACCCTAA